CAAATTTAGTAAATCTTTTCCATTTGTGTATGACTGGCTTTCTCTCAACTGTTGGAGACTTTTTTCTTATTTTCTTTCTCCTCCAACCACTGCTGTAGTCTCTCTTGTTTATTTTGCTGTTCGAGCTGCCATTGTTGCAGGTTTTCTTGCCACTGCCATTGTCTCTTTTCTTGTTTCTTTTCTCGTTCTTCTTGTTTCTTTTCTTTTTCCTTCAACAACTGCTGTAATCTCTCATCTTGTTTCTTTTCTTTTCTTCCAACAACTGCTGTAATATTTCTTTTTGTTTCTTTTCTTTTTTCTCCAACAATTGCTGTAATCTATCTTCTTGTTTCTTTTGCTGTTCTTGTATTGCTTCTATCAAATCTGCTAAGATGTAATTTGATTTGCCACTTCTCGTTTCCATCTTTTTTCTCCCTCCCTTTTTTCCATCCCACTCTCTGACACCAATTAGTTATGTATCTGCTTCATTGATAATTTCAGTAAAAATTCTTTCCGAGAAACTTCAGCGATACAAGACCCTTCTTGACTAAAACTAGTTTATTTTTTCGCGATACAAACTTTGTAATACACTTAACAACTTTTATAACACACGCTATAAATCACAGTGATTCACACACCTTACTTACTGTGCCCACTGTTCGCTTGACTCAATTATCTATCTACATATCTCTGCAATCTATCTGTCTATCTCGATGGCCTTCTCTGCCAGGCTTATATACGAAAAAAAGAGGGCGTATAGCAAACACTGGGACATTCGCGGGGTTCCTCGATAAGTCATGATCCTTCTAGAAACTCCAGCGCGCATGCTCCCTCCGCCGCGTGACTTCCGCTGTCGTAACAATATGTTATTTATTCGACCAAAAATGTATTTTCTTTTTATACATTATTGTAAGTAATAACTCTTATTTAAGGCCAAAGGGGAAGTCACAGTAGTTTGATAGTAATATGAGACAAATGTTTTAACTTTCTTATCTCAATTTTCGAAATATAAGAACGGCGGAAGTGTTTTATAACTAAATAGAATTTGGTATTTTACAATTTGAAAACTGAATATGATGAATCACCAATACGAATTTGGAAAATTACATAAAACATTATTTTAAGTTTTTATTTTATTACAAGTTACAGCTTTTACGGTAAGGAAGATTAATTTTTAGAACAGGTACGACGATTCGATCAGTAGTGTGATTTTTCTCTACCACATGTTCTCAAAAATAACTTTCTTAATTCTTACTGTAAGAGCTGTAACTTGTAATAAAATAATATTTAAGTCAGTAAGTAAACTCAAGACGAAACTATTACTTTAAGTTTATTTAAAAACTTCAGTTGTTGTTGAAAAATAAGAGAAAATGGTATTCATGTTTTCTTACCAAACCAAGTTAAAGTATCATATATAAAGAATGATGAAAAATAAAATGTTCGCTTTATCATAGAAAAATATATATTTATCATAATATTGATATAATCCCAAGGGTACAGTTAGCGTTATTCAGTTAAAATCGTTATCGCTGAACAATTTATATTTGCATCTTGTTACTCACTCAGACTTTTGTATCAATTGTTTTTTATTAAAAAAATTTCATTAATTCATTTTTAATAACATTTTGCCATTAAAGTTTATGAAAGCATTGTTAACTAATCTAAAAAAAAACTATTTAAAACGCGTATATTAATTTCACAGACATTCATGTTCAAATTCGATGAACATTTGCTGTGATATTAAACTTATATTAAAGTTTTTCTTCATTACCCATTCAAGCCGCATGGCCAGGTGGATAAGGCGCTCGACTCC